GATTTTGTATAGATTCTTATATTGATATAATGTTAAGTCATATTGAATATTATATGCATTCATGCTTCTACCTCTCCTTAAAATATTTTATATATTGATATATATTTATCATATTGCAATGCACATTTCTACCACTGATCAAGATACCTATACATTGTTTACATTTTGAGGTCATTGTCCTCATTTGTTGCAATTTTGTATAATGTTCTCATATAAAATCTTAGTCTTTAAGTTATAGGTATTAAAAATTATAGATCAATAGTCATCTATGTTTGTCATACTTATAGTTAGAATAATCAGGTTCTTTAGATAAGTACAGATTATATTCTGCATAGATAGGTAATCTTCAACCACTTCAAAGAACTGTAGAATATGGCATTTAACTAACTTAGACTTCTGTTGAAGTGAGGCACTATTGCTCCTGGTAGCATTGATTTATTCCCCCAGAGAATGTTGAGCACCGAAAGCACTCCACTTGGAGCTTGTTTTTTCTTGGCAAAACTGTCTTTTGGGCAAAAACATGCTCATGCCTCAACTACTGAAAAGATAGATGGTGTCTGAATATGGATAAACAGGTCTGTTAAATCTTGACAAGACAGGGTAAGATGGTTTTGAAAAATTTCCTACCTCTGAAAATGATCTGTCAGTTATTCTAGGTCATAACAAAAGTTGGTCCCTTCAATGTTGCAAATGAGACTTTGCATGATTGCCCAGGTAGCCAGTTATCTCTGTAATTTTTTGCACATTTTGGGTTTTGTTAAGATTTATTTATTTATTATGTATACAACATTCTTTCCCTGTATGCTTGCCAGAAGAGGACACCAGATCTCACCATAGATGACTCTGAGCCACCATGTAGTTGCTGGGAATTGAACTCAGGACCTCTGGAAGAGCTGTCAGTGCTCTTAACCTCTGAGCCATCTCTCCAGCTCTGTTGCACATTTTGAAAAGTTGCTTGATTGCACTTCCTGCTTACTCAAGTAATATTTCCCTTCTCAGATTCAATGGGGTTGAAAACTAGATAGCTGTAGTTACTGTCCTCTCATGACTTGTCCAAATTATTTATTAAACAAGAATTAAACTAGGTAGGATGGGAAAATTGTTGAATATATTATTCTTATTGTATATAATTTTGTATTGGGCTTAGAACTCTCTTATTTATACAAATGGGGGAGATGCTGTAGAAAGAATTACAGCCAGTGGTTTCCCGCCCATTGGGGCATGGCATCTTATACTATACTTGCCAATGTAGAGCATGAGTTTGGCCTCTTTTGTGGCTGTGTGATTCAGATTCTGATCTCTGTTCAAGCATAAGATTCTGATTTAAGAGTCCATCCCTAAATAAGTATACATTTATTTCTCAATTCTGAGGTGGTGTTGTATTTCTTTAAAGCATCCTTCTTCAAGCAACATTAAATGGGAATCATTGAAATGACTAAATGCATTTTTTCCATTGTTGACCATGAACTAATAGTAACTGGGTTCACAATGTACTTGACTGAATGAACAACCTCCCAGAAAAGATCATGTATTTGAACAAGTTTCTCTCCATAGTGGTTTTCTTTCAATTTTCTGTGGATCTTTCGTAGGAGAAGAAGCCCTTCTATATAAAATTCCTCATTGTATCCAATGAATCGCAATACCCTCAAATAATTTCCTGACATTTAAATCTACTGTGTTATGCTTGACATTAATCCGCCAGCTTACTACTTATACTAAAATGCTTTTAACATCATTATGGGCTCGATTTCTAAATCACATAAAATATAGCAGAAACAGTTGTTATTCAGTCCTCAGGACTTTGGTAACCTGCTGTTTTAATTGTTTCATTTGCTTATCTGAGTAACTGCGTGGCTCTCAATTCCTGTAACTAATGGGAGGCATCATTCCTAGCTCTATTTGTTTTTATGTTATTGGATGATGGTGCTAGAATGTAGGTATTTTTTATGTCAAGTATATGCTGCTGTGCTGAGCTTCATAATTTCTAGAATTTTAAAAATTGACAGAGGACATCACTCTGATTGCCAAGATGCCATGTATTCATAACATTAATACTGCCTGAGTATTCTGAGTCATTAACGGGAGTGAAAACAATTCTTTGTGGGAAGTTCCATAAAAGTCTTTCAGTTCTTTCTATCCCATTGTTTGTTTCATTCCAGTTTGCAATAGAAACAGGGTCTCAATGTGTATTTCCACCTCTCCTGGACCTGATTGCTTAGACTTCACTGGCATTCAACTCAGAGACAAACATTCCCACCTCTGTTTTCTGAGTGTTGTGGTTAAAGGCACAATACTTCAATACACCTAGTTTGTCCATCTTTTTTTCCTTTCTGTAGTCAGTAATTTTTTTTCAATATTCTCATGCATACAATGTACTGTTGATCTTTTCTGTTTTTCTCTCCCTATGAATAGATATTTCTCTTATAAGGTGGTATAAAGGGAACAGAAATAAAAGAATTGACTCTCCTTTTAAATTTCATTCTAAAGTGACTGTCTATGTCATGGAATAAGAGTGGATAACACCAGAATCATACAACTGTACTTTCAAAGAAGTATGCATTGCAATGTTGCCACTGTCATGCTTAAATTGTACACACGTGTGGTATATTTTTGAAGGCAGTGACCTATGATGATGTGCATATCAACTTCACTAAGGAAGAGTGGGATTTGCTGGATGCTTCCCAGAAGAATCTCTACAAAGATGTGATGCTGGAGACCTACAGGAACCTCACTACTATCGGTAAAAATAAATTTCTTTCATGTTTCAAAATATGGAGACAACTCTTTTTTGGTTTATGTTGTTGTTCTGTAATTTGATTTAGAAAGAAGGATAATGAGGTGAATAACACAGTCATAGTGCTTAGAATAATAAGCTAATTATTTCACAATGTTAAATAATATAACATACATATTCTGGTACTGTATTTTAGGATACAGTTGGGAAGACCATAACACTGAAGAACATTGTCAATGGTGTAGAAGGCATGCAAGGTAATTTTCTTATGCAAGTTTATAACAATGTGCCTCTGATAAGTTTGTAATGTGTTATGACACTTTTAAACAAAACAACAGTGTAAATAAGCACAGCTTTAAATGCATCGATGGTTATTAAATTCTCACAAATCCATATAGTTCAATTTCCTGTATGTGAATTCCATTTGCAAGGCATTCATTTAAGAAAAAGTAAAGGAAGCAATGACTACTAAACAGATTTTACCATTAACCATGAGAACTATATTATACATGTGCCAGTCCATTTGTTTCTTGTTACTCATGACAGAAAATGTATACACATTTCAGTGATGGTGAATATAGCTGCAAAACTTTTTACTAAATCAATAGCCCATGGTAAGCCTTGTATTACTCATACTTTTTGTGACTGTGTTAAGTTTAATGAAAGCAGCTGCTGGAGTCAAGGATCAAGGGGCAGATGTTGTGGAGAAACCTTAATATCTATACCACAAGTCTGTATTTAACAGAAAGTCAAACTGTGAGGATTCAATGTGGAAATCTTTTATTGACTATGCTTCCTTTCATATATGTATCATATGTTATTGTTGACACAAGAGTATGAGCATAGGGATATGGAAATATTTAGCATACCTCTCCTTAAGAACAATTAAGAAGATAAAATGTAGTTCCTATGCAGAGTATACTTGTTGAATTTGATCCAAGAATACAAAGTTAATTCATTTTCTACCATCATTGTTAATACATAAACTCACATTATGAAAAAAACCACGATGAGTTCTAGGTCTGTGCAAATACTTTTAGGTGTCTTAGTTCACTTAGCAAATGTATAATGATTCACAATATAGTAAAATTTATAAATGTAGTAAAGTTGGTAAAGCACTCAGTGTATGCAGTTCTCTTCAAAAATCTAAAAAATATAATAGAAAAATATAGGTATAGATGAAAAAGTAAACCATGGCACAATGGAAATTATCATCACAAATATTTTTTGAGTTGCAAAATAACCCCTAATGGGTGAATAAAACATGATTCAAAACAAAGTTATAGAATCGTAATGTTTGATTCTTTTTTACAATTGGAAAAATATGAAGTTAATTCATATAGAGATGAGATTTAACAGTGCATTGAATGTGGTGAAACTTTTACATGCGTAAATTATCCTTGCAGGATTGAAAGAAATCAAACTGGAGCGACGTTTTCCATATATTCTCACTGTGCTAAAGCCTTGTGTTATAACACTCATCTTCTAAGGAATGAAAAAACACATACCGGAGAAAAATGGTCTAAAATTAAGCAATGTGATAAAACCTTTGTTCATCCCAATCATCTTCAAAGTCATAAAAGAACACATACTGGAGAGAAACCCTCCGAATAGAATCAGTGTGGTAAAGACTTTACTCAATACATTGTTCTTCAAACTCATAAAGGAACACATACTGGAGAGAAACCCTATAAATGTAATCAGTGTGCTAAGGCCTTAGCTGACAACAGTGCTCTTCAAAAGCATAAAAGAACACATACTGGAGAGAAACCCTATGAATGTAATCAGTGTGGTAAGGCCTTTGCACATCACAGTCACCTTCAATACCATAAAAGAACACATAATGGAGAGAAACCCTATGAATGTAATCAGTGTGTTAAGGCCTATGCACGTCGTTATTATCTTAAATTGCATAAAAGAACACATACTGGAGAGAAACCCCATGAATGTAATCAGTGCGGTAAGGCATTTGCTGACAACAGTGATCTTCAAAAACATAAAAGAACACATACTGGAGAGAAACCCTATGAATGTAATCAATGTGGTAAGGCCTTTGCACGTCACAGTCACCTTCAATACCATAAAAGAACACATACTGGAGAGAAACCCTATGAATGTAATCAGTGTGGTAAGCCCTTTGCTGACAACAGTGCTCTTCAAAGACATAAAAGAATACATACTGGAGAGAAACCCTGTGAATGTAATCAGTGTGGTAAGGCCTTTACACGTCACAGTCACCTTCAATACCATAAAAGAACACATACTGGAGAGAAACCCTATGAATGTAATCAGTGTGGTAAGGCCTTTGCTGACAACAGCGCTCTTCAAAGACATAAAAGAACACATACTGGAGAGAAACCCTATGAATGTAATCAGTGTGGTAAGGCCTTTGCATATCACTATTATCTTCAATTGCATAAAAGAACACATACTGGAGAGAAACCCTGTGAATGTAATCAGTGTGGTAAGGCCTATGCACATCATAGTTCCCTTCAATTGCATAAAAGAACACATACTGGAGAGAAACCCTATGAATGTAATCAGTGTGATAAGGCCTTTGCGCATCATAGTTCCCTTCAATTGCATAAAAGAACACATACTGGAGAGAAACCCTATGAATGTAATCAGTGTGGTAAGGCATTTACCCAACTTAGTAGTCTTCAAATACATAAAACAATACACACTGGAGAGAAACCCTATGAATGTAATCAGTGTGTTAAGGCCTATGCACGTCGTTATTATCTTAAATTGCATAAAAGAACACATACTGGAGAGAAACCCCATGAATGTAATCAGTGCGGTAAGGCATTTGCTGACAACAGTGATCTTCAAAAACAAAAGAACACATACTGGAGAGAAACCCTATGAATGTAATCAATGTGGTAAGGCCTTTGCACGTCACAGTCACCTTCAATACCATAAAAGAACACATACTGGAGAGAAACCCTATGAATGTAATCAGTGTGGTAAGCCCTTTGCTGACAACAGTGCTCTTCAAAGACATAAAAGAATACATACTGGAGAGAAACCCTGTGAATGTAATCAGTGTGGTAAGGCCTTTGCACGTCACAGTCACCTTCAATACCATAAAAGAACACATACTGGAGAGAAACCCTATGAATGTAATCAGTGTGGTAAGGCCTTTGCTGACAACAGTGCTCTTCAAAGCCATAAAAGAACACATACTGGAGAGAAACCCTATGAATGTAATCAGTGTGGTAAGGCCTTTGCATATCACTATTATCTTCAATTGCATAAAAGAACACATACTGGAGAGAAACCCTATGAATGTAATCAGTGTGGTAAGCCCTTTGCTGACAACAGTGCTCTTCAAAGACATAAAAGAACACATACTGGAGAGAAACCCTATGAATGTAATCAGTGTGTTAAGGCCTATGCACGTCGTTATTATCTTAAATTGCATAAAAGAACACATACTGGAGAGAAACCCCATGAATGTAATCAGTGCGGTAAGGCATTTGCTGACAACAGTGATCTTCAAAAACATAAAAGAACACATACTGGAGAGAAACCCTATGAATGTAATCAATGTGGTAAGGCCTTTGCACGTCACAGTCACCTTCAATACCATAAAAGAACACATACTGGAGAGAAACCCTATGAATGTAATCAGTGTGGTAAGCCCTTTGCTGACAACAGTGCTCTTCAAAGACATAAAAGAATACATACTGGAGAGAAACCCTGTGAATGTAATCAGTGTGGTAAGGCCTTTGCACGTCACAGTCACCTTCAATACCATAAAAGAACACATACTGGAGAGAAACCCTATGAATGTAATCAGTGTGGTAAGGCCTTTGCATATCACTATTATCTTCAATTGCATGAAAGAACACATACTGGAGAGAAACCCTATGAATGTAATCAGTGTGGTAAGCCCTTTGCTGACAACAGTGCTCTTCAAAGACATAAAAGAACACATACTGGAGAGAAACCCTATGAATGTAATCAGTGTGATAAGGCCTTTGCGCATCATAGTTCCCTTCAATTGCATAAAAGAACACATACTGGAGAGAAACCCTATGAATGTAATCAGTGTGGTAAGGCCTTTGCACGTCACAGTCACCTTCAATACCATAAAAGAACACATACTGGAGAGAAACCCTATGAATGTAATCAGTGTGGTAAGCCCTTTGCTGACAACAGTGCTCTTCAAAGACATAAAAGAATACATTCTGGAGAGAAACCCCATGAATGTAATCAGTGCGGTAAGGCATTTGCTGACAACAGTGATCTTCAAAAACATAAAAGAACACATACTGGAGAGAAACCCTATGAATGTAATCAATGTGGTAAGGCCTTTGCACGTCACAGTCACCTTCAATACCATAAAAGAACACATACTGGAGAGAAACCCTATGAATGTAATCAGTGTGGTAAGCCCTTTGCTGACAACAGTGCTCTTCAAAGACATAAAAGAATACATACTGGAGAGAAACCCTGTGAATGTAATCAGTGTGGTAAGGCCTTTGCACGTCACAGTCACCTTCAATACCATAAAAGAACACATACTGGAGAGAAACCCTATGAATGTAATCAGTGTGGTAAGGCCTTTGCTGACAACAGTGCTCTTCAAAGCCATAAAAGAACACATACTGGAGAGAAACCCTATGAATGTAATCAGTGTGGTAAGGCCTTTGCATATCACTATTATCTTCAATTGCATAAAAGAACACATACTGGAGAGAAACCCTATGAATGTAATCAGTGTGGTAAGCCCTTTGCTGACAACAGTGCTCTTCAAAGACATAAAAGAACACATACTGGAGAGAAACCCTATGAATGTAATCAGTGTGATAAGGCCTTTGCGCATCATAGTTCCCTTCAATTGCATAAAAGAACACATACTGGAGAGAAACCCTATGAATGTAATCAGTGTGGTAAGGCCTTTGCACATCACAGTCACCTTCAATACCATAAAAGAACACATAATGGAGAGAAACCCTATGAATGTAATCAGTGTGTTAAGGCCTATGCACGTCGTTATTATCTTAAATTGCATAAAAGAACACATACTGGAGAGAAACCCCATGAATGTAATCAGTGCGGTAAGGCATTTGCTGACAACAGTGATCTTCAAAAACATAAAAGAACACATACTGGAGAGAGACCCTATGAATGTAATCAGTGTGCTAAGGCCTTTGCACGTCACAGTCACCTTCAATACCATAAAAGAACACATACTGGAGAGAAACCCTATGAATGTAATCAGTGTGGTAAGGCCTTTGCTGACAACAGTGCTCTTCAAAGCCATAAAAGAACACATACTGGAGAGAAACCCTATGAATGTAATCAGTGTGGTAAGGCCTTTGCATATCACTATTATCTTCAATTGCATGAAAGAACACATACTGGAGAGAAACCCTATGAATGTAATCAGTGTGGTAAGCCCTTTGCTGACAACAGTGCTCTTCAAAGACATAAAAGAACACATACTGGAGAGAAACCCTATGAATGTAATCAGTGTGATAAGGCCTTTGCGCATCATAGTTCCCTTCAATTGCATAAAAGAACACATACTGGAGAGAAACCCTATGAATGTAATCAGTGTGGTAAGGCCTTTGCACGTCACAGTCACCTTCAATACCATAAAAGAACACATACTGGAGAGAAACCCTATGAATGTAATCAGTGTGGTAAGCCCTTTGCTGACAACAGTGCTCTTCAAAGACATAAAAGAATACATTCTGGAGAGAAACCCCATGAATGTAATCAGTGCGGTAAGGCATTTGCTGACAACAGTGATCTTCAAAAACATAAAAGAACACATACTGGAGAGAAACCCTATGAATGTAATCAATGTGGTAAGGCCTTTGCACGTCACAGTCACCTTCAATACCATAAAAGAACACATACTGGAGAGAAACCCTATGAATGTAATCAGTGTGGTAAGCCCTTTGCTGACAACAGTGCTCTTCAAAGACATAAAAGAATACATACTGGAGAGAAACCCTGTGAATGTAATCAGTGTGGTAAGGCCTTTGCACGTCACAGTCACCTTCAATACCATAAAAGAACACATACTGGAGAGAAACCCTATGAATGTAATCAGTGTGGTAAGGCCTTTGCTGACAACAGTGCTCTTCAAAGCCATAAAAGAACACATACTGGAGAGAAACCCTATGAATGTAATCAGGGTGGTAAGGCCTTTGCATATCACTATTATCTTCAATTGCATAAAAGAACACATACTGGAGAGAAACCCTATGAATGTAATCAGTGTGGTAAGCCCTTTGCTGACAACAGTGCTCTTCAAAGACATAAAAGAACACATACTGGAGAGAAACCCTATGAATGTAATCAGTGTGATAAGGCCTTTGCGCATCATAGTTCCCTTCAATTGCATAAAAGAACACATACTGGAGAGAAACCCTATGAATGTAATCAGTGTGGTAAGGCCTTTGCACATCACAGTCACCTTCAATACCATAAAAGAACACATAATGGAGAGAAACCCTATGAATGTAATCAGTGTGTTAAGGCCTATGCACGTCGTTATTATCTTAAATTGCATAAAAGAACACATACTGGAGAGAAACCCCATGAATGTAATCAGTGCGGTAAGGCATTTGCTGACAACAGTGATCTTCAAAAACATAAAAGAACACATACTGGAGAGAGACCCTATGAATGTAATCAGTGTGCTAAGGCCTTTGCACGTCACAGTCACCTTCAATACCATAAAAGAACACATACTGGAGAGAAACCCTATGAATGTAATCAGTGTGGTAAGGCCTATGCACATCATAGTTCCCTTCAATTGCATAAAAGAACACATACTGGAGAGAAACCCTATGAATGTAATCAGTGTGATAAGGCCTTTGCGCATCATAGTTCCCTTCAATTGCCTAAAAGAACACATACTGGAGAGAAACCCTATGAATGTAATCAGTGTGGGAAGGCATTTACCCAACTTAGTAGTCTTCAAATACATAAAACAATACACACTGGAGAGAAACCCTATGAATGCAATCAGTGTGGCAAGGCCTTTGCATGTCATAGTCAACTTCAAAGGCATAAAAGATCACATACTGGTTAGAAACCCTATGAATCCAATCAGTGTGTTAAGACCTTTGAACATGAAACTAGTCTTCACATTCATAAAAGAATGCGCACTAGAAAGAAACCTTATGAGTGAAATCAGTGTGGTAAGGCCTTTACAGAACCCCTGTACACTTGAAAGGCATTAAATAACACCTTCTGTAGAGATATTGATGAATGGAATTTGTGGTAGGTGGAGGGAGGTCATTGGTTAATCAAGAAACTGCCTTGGCCCATTTGATAGGCCAGCCCTTAGGTGGGTGAAGTCGACAGAACAGAATGCCGTGAGGAAGAGGGAAGTGAAGCAGACATCATTTCCTCTCCTTTCAGGGGAAGATGCCATGCTGCCTGCCACCAGGGCAGACATGCTGAATCTCTCCCGGTAAGCGCACCTCTTGCTGCTACACAGATTAGAAATGGGCTTAATTAATATGTGAGAATTAGCCTAGAAGAGGCTAGATATAATGGGCCAAGCACTGTTTTAAATTATACAATTTGTGTGTTGTTATTTTGGGGCATAAGCTATCCAGGCAGCCGGGAGCTGGGTGGCAGGAAGCTGCCCGCAGCTCCTTCAAAAGAATGGTGCCCATGTGGACAACTGCTTCCACATAAAGCCTGGGAAAGCTTGGGAAAGAATAGAGTAAAGCATGTTTTCTTTTTAGCAGCAATTTCTCATTGTGCTCTGCTTGCTAGAGGCAAGCAAGCACTCTCATCTAAGTGAGGCTTCCTGACTAAGCTTTAGCTGCAAAACCCTGCAGCTCTTAAGAGGTCCTGCCAAGAAACACTTAAATGGTGTTGATAAAAGCCAACTGAATGCTTGTTTGTTTTCAGTAGTAGCAGGAAAAAAGTGCCATTTTAAAATGCCCCCTTCTGGGCTGTCCTGACAGGGCAGACTCTAACTCTTTCAGGCAGGCAGTTGACTGAGTGTGGTCTGGGAACAGAATGCTGCAGCTTGCTTGCTGGCAGGGACCTTGAAACGCCATAGACTTGTGGCAATAAACATGGCTACAGCTGGTACCTCCACCATGAGGCTGAAAGCTAAGGCTGGATCTAGCTGCCAAAGCCTCGTCTTTAATCCTGCCCATATTGCTCAGTAGTTTAAAAGCTCATGTGGTCAGAAAAAAAGAGGGAGATACATAGTAAAGAGAGATTCAAAAACAAAGAAAATCTTTAAAAGATTTACAGTGTCTTAAGAATATATGCAGGCTAAAACTTAAAGTTCTTAAAGTAAAAAACAAAAAGGAAAGAAAGAGAGTAGTTGGGTGTGATAGTACACACCTTTAATCCCAACATTTGGGAGGCAGAGGGAGATTGTCTTCTGTGACTTCAAGGTGTTGTAGCACAGGCCTTATTCCCAATGCCTGGGAGGCAGAGACAGTCAGATCTCTGAGAGTTCAAGGACAGCCTGGTCTACAGTGTTATTCCAGGACAAAGATATACAGAGAATATAAAATAAACGTAAAAATAAACAAAATAGAGGTTAAAGTAAAACCGCACAAAGATGGAAAATACACGGAGAATCTTCATACTGTATGCTATTGTGCTCTCTGAGTTGTTTTAATGGTGCGGAAAGAGCAACATCTGCTAAAAGATATTTGTTTATAAATGCTGCTGAACTAATCTAAGATAGACATTTTGAAAATACCTTGACTTCAGAATTTGGATCTAAGGATATGATACTTTGGAAAAGAGATTCTTCTTTTGTTTTCACTGGATAAGACCCTATGGATTGCTTCTATTCTAATATGGTATGATAGACCACGCCCTCCTGAAAGGTTGCTGTGAACACCTTCAGAAAATTGCTTATCTGCTAACTGAGACAAATCTAACACACAAGTTATACCCTCAAAGTCCTGATTAACAGCGCCCCTATACAGCAGGAAGCAGTTTGGAGAGAAATAACTACGTCCATATTCCCAAATATTGTTTATAAATGTTCTTTTACATTTATAGGGTGATATAATATAGATATAAATAATTTGGATTGAAATGAATCTTGCTTTACTGATACTAATTTAAGGTCAATTTTGTTATGTGTGTATATATTTCTGATATTGATTAAGGTATTTTGATTGGGGCTCAGAGATGGCTCAGTGGTTAAGAGCATTGCCTGCTCTTCCAAAGGTCCTGAGTTCAAGTCCCAGCAACCACGTGGTGGCTCACAACCATCTGTAATGAGATCTGGCACCCTCTGGCGTGTGGACATACATGGAGGTAGAATGTTGTATACATAATAAATAAATCTTTAAAAAAAAACAAAGTATAATCTGGAGCAAGTGCCTAAGAGATACTTAAAAGATAACAGCATGCTGGGCGGTGGTGGCGCACGCCTTTAATCCCAGCACTCGGGAGGCAGAGGCAGGCGGATCTCTGTGAGTTCGAGACCAGCCTGGTCTATAAGAGCTAGTTCCAGGACAGGCTCCAAAACCACAGAGAAACCCTGTCTCGAAAAACCAAAAAAAAAAAAAAAAAAAAGATAACTGCATATATTGAATGCAAAATCTGTCTAACCTGGTTCCACTTGAGCATTGGACAGGGATTGATGCATACTGTCATTAAAGAGACTTTTTTTCATTAATCTCCTAAGTGTGTGATTTGATTTCTCAGTGAAAAAGCATATTAATTCTAGAAGAGTTTCATTTCCATCCTGATAGAAATATTGTTTCTGAGACAAGTTGTGTTATGTTGACTCAGGTGGCCTTGGTCCCTGTCTGCTGCCTTACAAAGCAGTGACCTTGAGTGTCCTCTATATTACACCTTCAAAATTCTTAAATGACTACACCAGCTCATTATTTTAAAATTATGTATTTGCTGGGCAGTGGTGGTGGATGCCTTTAATCCCAGCACTCAGGAGGCAGAGGCAGGCAGGTCTCTGTAAATTCAAGGATAGCCTGGTCTACAAGAACTAGTTCCAGGACAGACACCAAGGCTACCGAAAAACCCTGTCTCAAAAAACAAAACAAAATAAATAAAATAATGCATTTGAGGCATGTAGTTGACTGCCCAATGCAATCTCAGGAAAAGGATTTGCATATGGAGCATTTCTTCTGTGTTCAGACCACAATAGGGAGAATAGATTATTGTGTGCACTGCAGGGGGCACAGCATAGGCAATCAGCTGTTGCAGCCACCACTATGAAAAAGGGCCTGACTGTGGTAGCAGGAGTGGTTTGTAATTTGATACCATATTTAAATTAATATCATGTGAATGAACACAGACTAGATTGTGTGCTATACATATTGGGAAGGTTGTCTTGAGTCAAGAAATATTGAATTAGCTAATAGGCAACTATCCTCTGCAGATATGATTGATCTTGCTTGACACAGTTATTTCGGCTCAGTGATTTGAAAAACAGGCCATTGACTAACTCTATGTGTCAGGTTACAGATCTCAGCAGCCAATATATGTATATGGGCACCATCAATCTACCTCTTATTAATGACATCCCCTCCCCTAGGGAAGGGCCTTCTCTTTTTTCAAAGTTATTATAGAAAATTTTATTTAATCTTAAAAGTACATTATTATCATCACTTCAAAAATCACTGTTTGGTATCAGTTTCAAATACTTTCTTTAAGTGTATTGTTGCTCTTATCTCTATTTGTTTCTTTTTTTTTACTAGCATGAGTTCTCAACTTTTAATTTGTAATAACCATTGACAAGTATAAATAAATATTTGTACAGACAAGGACAAAAATATTAAAGTGTTTTTATATCTAATAGAATTTTTCTCATTCAGTATAATTTTCACAAAAAAAAGAAATCTAATTTTTTTATTTCCAAAATTATTTCAAATCTCCCCAAAGAAGTTACATTCAGGCCTACTTCTTTGTTTCTCTATTTGTTTCTGTTCTCTAATATTTCTAAGTCATTAGTGGTTTTATTTCATTTCTTTCAAGTTATGTTCATTTCTTTGTAGAGCAATGTCTCCTGTAGCTTAGGCTTGCTTCATGTTGTGTAATTGAGAATTATTTTCAACACCTAATCCTGCCTCTGCAGCCCAATGCTGGGAAGACAGTCCTGCAACTCCTTCCAGGTTTGGCCTGGACTTGTCAATGAGAAAGAAAAATAGAGCAGTTAATGAGTGTCTGCTAATCTTTCTGGCTTTTATTTGGGAACTTAGAAATGAAGAGGGATTGGTATAGGCTTGCAGTCTTCTGTTCCTATTTAAAGTGTTCAGTGTGGAGCCTGAACCTAAAAGATGCAAAGATGGCAACATGTGGAATGCAGAATCTCTTCTAGCCTGGCTTCTCTTTGAGCTGCATCTAGAGATGGGTGTACCATATAATCAAAGAGACTTTTCTTTATTGATCTCTCAAATGTGTAGAGTGAATTCTCTCTGGGGAAGTCCTATCTATCAGTTCTAGACAGCAGTAGTTTCAGGCTTTCAGAAATTCCTTTCTGAGACTAGCTATCTTACCCTGACATAAGTGGCTTTGGTCCCAGACTTTTCCTCTCCAGGGCAATGACCTTGCTGTCCTGTATGACACCTTCAAAATCTTAAATTAAATGATTGTAGCACCTCAGTTTCAACGTTACACATTTGAGTCAGGAAACTGAATATCCATTGCAGGAAAAATATTTGCATGAGGAGAGTGTTCTCTCTCTTCAGACCAGAATAGAAGCAACTATCTCTATTTTTTCTCTTCTCCAAAGTTTCTAGGTCATTAATAGTTTCATTCCATTTTTTAAGTGATGTTGATTGTTGATTTCTTTGTAGAGTAATGTCTTCTGTGGCTTAAGCTTGTCTCATGCTAAGTAATTGAGAATTGCTTGAACACCTAATCCCACCTCTGTTGTCTACCACAAGTTAGAAGCCAAATTTGGGTGATACCACATGTTATACTTGTACTGGAAACAAGAAAGATGCACAATCTATAAGTGATAGAATCTTCTTCTGAAGTTCACTTCAGCACTGTTGCACCAATCTGTTTTGCAGAGTTGGAAACTCAGTTAAGATTCTGTGAGAGTTTACTGAATGAATTTGTAAAAATGAAGCCACAGTTGTATGATGCGATGATAGGATGTTGAGATACCAAGCTATGAGACATATGCCATAAAGAGCTTCATACAGGGAGTGGAAGCAGCAAAAGAGAGACATATACAGGAATAGAACTATGTAAGCCCTTTGAGAATGAAGTCCTAACAGCCTGAGACAGACCTACATGATTCATTGTTTGCCCTGATAAGTTTTAGTCTTACCTTGGTCAAATACCCTAACTGTACTCATATTCCTTTTTTTAAAAATTTATTCTTCTCTCATACTATGCAATGAGTCAATACACCCAATTTTTTCATCTTATTTTTCCTTTTAGTAGTTAGTAATTCTTCATTCAGTTTCAGTTTTCTTATGTGTACTGTGTACATTGATCTGCTTCCTTGCCTCTC